GATTGGCACAGGACAGAGCGGAGTTTAGGGCTGTTGTACATAGGGTCGCTATGAGTTGCAGGCAACTCCACGGCACATAACACCACCAACAACAACAACATCTGTTACCGAAGTGTAAATTATTTAAGCAGACTAACACAAAAACTACCTAGTTTAGCCAGTTAATTGACATTATAACTTGACTCCTAATGTAATCTTTTTATTTTCATTCATCAGATATATGTTGAAAATTTTCTGTAAGCATTTACAATGAAAGGAGGATATGAACAAATAGAAAATTACAATGTTGCTGTTTGGTATCTTCAAGTTGGTTCCAGTTCATAATAATCATTTGTACAACAGAACAACACACTCTCTGGTCCTTTGACATCCTTATAATTGTTACTGCACTTGAATCCATTGTTGTAGCCACCATGTCAATCCATTTAGTTAAGAGTCTTCCTCTATTTTACCAAACGTAATAATCCTTCTCTGGAGACTAATCTTTCCTGATACCGTTATATAAAAGGCCTGTTATATAAAAAAATGGATAGCCAGTTCTGCTTCCTAGTCTATATTTTTCTGGGAGCTCTACTAAAACCTGTTTATCAAGAGTAACCATTGTGGCATTTGACACACCAGTGGCATAGCTTTCAGTATCACGGCAACTTACGATTTTATTAGATCATAATAAAGTCTGTAGCTTACTAAGGAGAGAATGAAAAGTTGTAAAGGCCTATGGTATGCTGAAAATGTGTTTTCCTTATGTTACAGATTTTATTGAGTAGCTAAGTATTCTAAACATTTGTATTTGTGTTTTGTTTTTCTTGTAGGGGGACTCCCGAACTCTTCCATTTTCTGAGAACTTTAGTTCTATTCAAAAATTGGACTTTTCAGACATGATAGTTCAACAGAAATTGGATGACATTAAGGATCGAATCAAGAGAGAAATAAGGAAAGAACTGAAAATCAAAGAAGGAGCTGAAAATCTGAGAAAGGTTACAACAGATAAAAAAAGCTTGGCTTATGTAGATAACATTTTGAAAAAATCCAATAAAAAATTAGAAGAGCTGCATCACAAGCTACAGGAACTAAATGCACATATTGTTGTATCAGATCCAGAGGATGTTACAGGTATAGTATTTTATCTGATATTTATATGGTTCTATGAAAATTTTATCCGTTTAAAAAATAATATTTTGTGACATGTATAGATAGTTTTTCAAATAGTTTTGTTGTTATTGTTATGTGCTGCTGAGGCACCTGAGACTCTTAGGGACCGTTTATACAACAACCCTAATCCTGCTCTATTCTGTGCCAGTCTTACTGTCTCTGAAACACCTACCTCCATTACCCCAGTAACTGAATCAATCCGTCTCATCGAGGGTCTTGCTCTCCTGAGTGGTTCCTCCACCCTCCCAAGCATGACATCCCTGTCCAAGGACTGATCCCTCCTCACCTGTCCAAAGTAGGTCAGATGAAGTTTCAGAATCCTTGCCTCCAAGGAGCAGCTTGGCTTCACCCTCTCTAGGATGAACTTGTTTGTTCTCCTAGCAGTCCATGGTATATCAATACTCTTCTGTAGCACCATAGCTCAAAGTTATCAATTCTTCTATCATCCCTAGTATAGGAATAATGTTGTGTCTTATAGATAAGGTTTTGTTCATATTAAATTGCCAAGTATAATGTGTTGACACAGAAATGGAAATGTTTACCTGGAGATGAGTAAAACTAATGTCTGCTTTCTTAAGCTCTGCCAGTGACATTAATTCTTTTGTAGCTTTATTTTGTATTGAGCCAGCCATATGGTCTTAATTTAATTCATTCTTGTGATTTTAACACAAAATACCAGATGATTTTGAGCTCTCATTTTTTTATTGGTTTGCATATAGTCTTTCATATCCATTGTGATTGTGTTTCTTGCATGTACATTGTGTTTTATACAATCATTAATATACATTATATTTCACATAATCATTTACTATTGATCCATGCCTATCATTACCCTGTCTATTCATGTCTCCACTGAATCTTTGCTATTCCTTTGCTCGTACACTCCCTCTCCTTTTCTATCCTTCTTTCTCCCTGTCCCCTCCTATCTCTCAGTAACCTCTACTATCTTTTCTGCCCTTTTTTCCCTTCTTTTTAACATTTATACACATCTTGCTCAGTTCTCCTTTTGTTGTTTGTTCTTCTAGCAGTCCATGGTATATTCAGAGAGCTGGACAATGACTAGGGAGGACAGAGAGAGAATTGACGCCTTTGAGCTGTGGTGCTGGAGAAGAGTATTGAATGTACCATCGACTGCCAAGAAAACAAACAGATTCATCCTAGAGAGGGCTAAACCAGGTTACTCCTTGGAGGCAAAGATTCTGGGGCTTCGTCTGACATACTTTGGACATGTTGCAAGGAGAGACAGGTCTTTGTAGAGGGACATCATGCTGGGTAGTGTAGAGGGACAGCGCAGGAGGGGAAAACCTTCTATGAGGTGGATTGATTCAGTGACTGGGGTAATAGGGATGGGTGTGTCAGAGGCAATGCGATTGGCACAGGATAGGCTGTTGTACATAGGGTCGCTATGAGTCGCAAACGACTCGACGGCACATAACAACAACAATAGTAAATTCTGCTCCATGCTCAATCTTGAATCATTGCAACACTTTTTATAGGTTACTTATCCTAAATACACATAGATGATGCCACTCCTTTTGCTGCTGTTTCTAATTTTCATACCATTCATTATATATTCTGAACTGAAAAGTATATAGTTTTTTTTTCTCTGTCATGAACAATTAGACCTTTCCTCTCTGTCAAGTTTCCTGCATATGGTAGTATAATAGCATCTGGGAAGGTGTTCTTCCTTGAATTGTTCAGTGATGCCATTGTCTGCTTTCTGAAGATTGGATACTACAATACTCCTCCTATATGTTTCTAACTTACACCTTCCAGTCACCAGTTACTACCATGCAGTCAGTTTCAGACTGGTAGAAATTGTCTTATTTAGTCTTTGGCTTTAGTAGTTTGATGTATATTTAAAAACTGGTTATATTAACAGATGTTCTTTGGTTATCTGATTTATATTGACTAACACTACTCCTGTTTCAGCCCACTAATGCATAGTCTCTGTATTCCATTTCATTGCTCACAACTTCCAATTTTCCTTGACTTACACTTCACACATTCTATGATCTAGTTAATAATGGATGTTTGCATCTGTCTCCTTTAGTTGAGTCTTTGTTTGCTACATTAACAAATGAAGGGCTGTCATTGAGTGAAAGGGTTTTTTTCCTTTTAACGTCAGTAAGGTAGGCTCTCTTTTGAGGAGTCAACTCAGTCAGTATTTTTAGTACCTTCCAATCTGAGGACTTCATTTTCCAGCACTAGATTAGATAATTTTTCCCTGCTCTTCATAGGCTTCTCATTATTTAAGAAGTGGATTAGCTGGTCCTCATTCCCACTTTGTCTTAGTCTGAAAGCTTCACTGAAACCTGTCTACTGTGGTTAGTGTTTGAAATACCAGTGGCATGGCATGGCTTCATGTTTTGTCTGTTCTCAAGTCTTGTAACAATACCTACAATAATAATGTTAGTTTTCTAACTTAAGTCTCAAAACACAAAATCTTTTTCTACTAGTTGTAATTAATACCAAACCATAATTTAACATATTATATTTTAAAGACTGAATAATTTAGGGAGCAAACTCTTAAATTAAGTTTTGGGAAAAGGAAATTTAGAAACTTCATAGACCATTTGACCTAGAAAATTGAAAACAAATACTATGTGAAATAAAACCTTCCACTTCTTAGCTTATAGTGCATTTTGAGTTTAAATAGTCATTGAGAATACATTTTGTCCTATTCTTCTAAACTCCTAGGATGTAATTCTACTATTTTTTTCTATAATTATATTTTATTAATTTTCATAAACATTTACAGAGATTTTGGGTTTCCATTCATTCATTGTTGCACTATTCTCTCTACCCTCCTCCCAGTTTGTTCTTGTCCAAATGCCACAGTGCTTGTCAAAGCCAGTTCTGATTAATCTTCTTTGTCAGTGTGTCCTTTGCCATTCCCTATCACTCCTCCCTGAGAGAGACTTCACCCTGATTCATAAGGAAAAGGGGATGGCGTATTCTCTTAGCTACTTCCTGCTGAAAAGGGACGCTGTGGGTTTCAGGGTGAAGATCTTCTCTCACTACTCTAAAGGGCCCCTTTGGCAGTAGGAAACACATAGACTATTATGGAGATTGATTTTGGAATTTAGATGCACTCTTATTGATTGTGCTTGGCCGTACATGTTCATATCCTTGAAGATGTATCCTGGGGGTGTTGCAACCTAGAAGACACAAATTTGACTAACAAGTTATAAGTACATGAGTTAAAAATTATGGAAAAGTAAAAGAAAAGATTCTTTCATTGTTTTACAAACCCTCCCCCAGGTCCCCTCCACCATGTAGCCCTCGCTCTAGTCTCCTGTGATGGCAGAAATACCTAGTTATATATCTCTTTTAAACAGTTTTCTCCCTCCTCTGTTTCAGTGCAGTATACATTATTGAACCCATCTTACTCAGTCTCTCCCCAACCCCAAGGACAGTCCCATTCTACAACAGTGGCATCATGTAATATTTGTCCTTTTGTGACCGGGATATTTCACTCAGCATAATGTTCTCCAGAGTCAACCATTTTGAATAATATTGCATGAGTTCCTTGTTTTTTAATGCAGCATAGTATTCCATTGTGCGAATATACCACAGCTTCTCTAGCCATTCGTTTGTTGATGGGCACTTAGGTTGTTTCCAACTCCTTGCTATTGTGAACAAAGCTGCAATAAACATGGGTGTGCATATATCTGCTTGGATGTCAGCTATGGTCTCTTCAGGGTATATTCCCAGTAGTGGAATTGCTGGGTCAAATGGTATCTCTATTTGCAACTTTTTGAGAAAGCGCCATACTGCTTTCCACAGGGGTTGCACCATTTTACACTCGCACCAACAGTGAATCAGGGTTCCAGTTTCTCCACAACCTCGCCAGCATTTGTTGCTTGCTGTTCTGTTAAATTTTGCTATTTTGACTGGGGTGAAATGATATCTCATAGTTGTTTACTATTTTTTTCTTAATGACTATTTAAAGTGCAGTTTATGAAGACTCTCTTGAGAAAATGTAATTTTTATTGTTTATTTCATCTAAAATGTGGCATAGAAGTAATAGTTGTTGTTGTTTATAATGTGCCATCAAATCACCTGCTACTCATAGCAACCCTATATTCTATAGCTCTGAAGCCTGCCCTGTCCTTAGCCAGTCTCACTGACTCTAATACACTTATCTGCATTTGCCCCGTCACTGTTATCAGTTCATCTCATCTGGGATCTTCCTCTCCTGTGCTGTCCCTCCTGGCCACATGCCCAAAGAATGTGACATAGAGCTTCAAAATCCTAACCTCCAAGGAGAAACTTGGTTTCTAGGACAGACCTATTTGTTTCCTTGGCAGTCCATGGTATGTTCCAGATTCTTTTCCGGCACCACAACTTAAAAGTATCAATTCTTCTGTCATCCTAAGTCATTATCCAGCTTTCTGATGCATAGCAAGTAATTGTGAAGACCATGGCCTGAATTTGGCACACCTTATTCTCTAGACTGACATTGTTGCTTCCCAGTACTCTTACATAATGCAGTTTGTCTTTTGATTTCCTGACTACTGGTGCCAAGAATGTTGATTGTGGAGCCATGCAAGCTGTAACTGATAATAACCTCAATCTCTTTTCTAGCCATCATAGCGAATATATAATGTATTTTTTATATACATACATGATTTGTGTTAAGTTGTGAACACTTTACAAGAAAGACTAACATTAAGTAGCTGTGTCATCCTTACCAGTTTAACACTTCTGGCTCTCACTGCTAAACTTAAGAAATAAATATTTTGTAGGCCATAATATTTGAATTCTTTTAATCTCACATTTTTTTGAAAAAATTAATATATGTTAAAATTATTGTTTGGTATCCCACTCCGTAAATTTTTAAACAAATACAGATTCATATAACAAAAATCAAGAAAAGGAATAATTGCATTGGCCCTAAATTTTTTAGCAACCAGTGATCTGCTCTCCTTCATTGTTATTTTTTCTCAAGATGTCTT